TATATATATATATATAGAACCTATGTAGTGCCAAAAATGATAAAGGGCCCTATAATATATAGTAATATGAATAAGATGCGTTAAAATTTTATCCCTCAAAATTTATATCATTTTCATATAGTGTAATTATTTCTCTGTTTTTGTTTCCGGATTTCGAATAATTTACAATCTTAGTAGTTATACCTGGTCTAAATGCTAAAAGAAATTGGATCTCCTGCTTTTAGTTTCTAATTTTAAGAAAAGGAAATGTTGATAGGTGCTCCATAACACTAATTAAGTTTATATTTAAAAAAATCGTAAATGTAGTGATTTACATTGTCAACAGTGAGGGGGTCATAACAAATCTTAAAAAACACCAAAAGTTTTAATTAATTTCACTGTTTTGCACCCCTTAATGAATTTGTTAAGATATTAAAAAAAATAAGGATGTATATACTAATATAAAGAAATTATTTACTCTGCAAATTTTTGGAGTTTTGGTTTATAAAACCATATGAGGAGGTTTCAGATTCTCGGTATTAAGAGAAAGAGAATTTCAGAAAAGACATAATAATTTAGTTTTATATATTGATAAGAGCATGGTTTAGATTATTGAAAAGCAATTGGACCAAAAAGATATTTAAACTTACCGGACAATGAGATATTAATATTCTGTTCCTATATCGTATAGTGAGATGAATATTACAATAGTAAAATTGATGGATTGGGCGATTCGCTATGTCCCCACGAATACACTCTAAAGCTTAAAAATTGAGATGAATATAGTGAGATTTTTTTAAGTGACAAAAGAGTAATTTTTCATTGTATAACTTAACATCACATATATTGGATCATAATGCTATTTATGTTATTTTTATTAATAGAAAATCTCAATTGAATTGGTATGATCACACGTTAAGAATCACAATTCAATTAATAAAATTGCATAAAAACTAAATCAAATTATAAAATTATGCATACACCCGAGCATTTAGCTCATTAGTTAATGTATTATTTTTTTGACTAAAGAATAAGATTCGAATCTCCCTTTTCTTAATTATAAAAAAATTATAAAATTATGCATGAATAATCTCTCTATACTTTTCTGTATACGTTCAATCAACCCTATCATTTCACTTTGTGCAAAGAATATATTTGTTCTAATGCTTTTATCCTAACTATTTATTCTACCTTATTTAAAAAAAATAACACTAATTATTTCTTTCTACCTAATGTGACAATAATGCAGTAGCATTACTTCGAATATTTCATTTTTTAACTAATAGATTCATTTATGAATTTGTATATCTTTTTTTTGAATTTATGCCATAAATTATTGCCACATCATGCAAAAAATACAATTAAAATAAAAGTAATGGGGTAAGTAATAGTATCCCTAAGTAGTAGTAAAACCTGTATTTTTGGTTCAAAATTTTTATTTTACCTAACTTTAATTTGTGATGTAAACAAGCTGCTATAAATATGGACAAAAGAATAGTCACAATTATTTTTAAAAAAATCATGCAATAATTTCTGTAATTTCAATTTTACTAGCTGATTATGAAGTTGAATTTCATCGAATATATTGAAATTAAGGTAAAATGCTCTTACCTTTTAAATTTTGACAGAAATTACTCGAAAGTTGATTAGTTTTCAAAATGGATATTCCGTCTCAAAAAAATATTTTTCATTGGACACATAGATCCAACAGTTAGGTAACCGTTAATATTTTCATCAACTTGTTGACATGGTAAAGATAAAAAGATAATTTTATCATTAATTAATTTTTATAATTACTATTTTATAATTTTATATTTTTTATTAATAAAAAAAAATCCCCATCTCTAGAGCCCGGTACTCCCCTCCTTTGGGGAGCACCGATCTTGCCTAGTGCTCCCTTTTCTTGGTGAGCTAGGGAGCACGGATCAGTGTTCTTTTTTTATTTTTTAAAAATACAATTATAATTGTTTAAATTAATAAAAAATAGCATTTTAATTTTTTCATAATTTTTATTAATAGTATTAATACTCTTAAGACAGAGTATCTATTTTAAAAATTAATAAACTTTTGAATAATTTTAATTAAAACTTAAAGGGTAAGGGTATTTTACCCTTAAAATTATTATTTTGTACAACATTTTTTCAAAAATAATCTTAAATTATAACTTTTTTATTGAAAATAATTTGAAAAATGGTAAAAAAACAAGGGAGAAAATAAAGAAAAACAACAAAGAAAAAGCTCAAACTATTTTGAAAGAAAGAAATTAAAAGCCAAAACATATGTTTTTTTATTTTAAAAGATACAATTTATTCGTCAAACTTTACATATTGATTTATAAATTGTAGTTTTTTAAAAAATTATCTAAAAGAAAAAAAGCATGAAAAATTGAAAAATTAGAAAAAAAATAAAAATAATGAAAGAAATTCAGATTTTTATTTTATTTTATTTATTTTTGGAAAGATTTTTTTCTCTTTTTAACAAGTATATTCTTGCTTATTTTGTCTTCTTTTTAAAAGAACTCAAAAACATTTTCTCATAAAAAAACAAAATTATTGAGTAGTTGTGTATACTTAATAATTTTTTTTTTCTAAAGTCATTCTAATTTATATTATTTTATTTGAGAAAAAATAAAAAATGTAAAAACAAAACATTTTTTAATTTTTTATATTCTTGCCTTTTTTATTCAATTTTATCTCTATTATTGCAGCAGGCATTTTCTGGCCAAATCTGGCCCAGCCCTCACTGCTGAGGCGGGAGCCAGACGATCTGACTTGGCTAGCGTCAATCAGCAGCAGGGGGAAGAGGGATTGACACTCCCCTGCAAGTTTCTCTCCCCTTCCTCCGTCGCTGGCCGTTCTTTCCCCACTTTTTCTCCAGCCTTTTTGCCAACAATCTCATCCTCCCACAACTGCAACCCCCGTTTCTCTATAACGGTTTAGGGGTCTCAAAATAAAAAGACAAAAAGACCCTTGAAAAGCTAAGTCCTTTTTGAACTTGAAATAAAAAGACAAATGGATTAAAAATTATGATGCCCTTTCTTTCGTTCCCTCCGACCGACCGAAGGGAATCCCTCGTCCAAAGATGGAAACGAGAGACAGTGTCAATGACCCAGACGCACTAGGATGCGCGTGTAAGGAACGCTGCTTCCGGACGGGCTCGACAACGATAGCGGGGGGTGTTAGGTGTAGCGAGATGTGGACATGTAGGGGAAGAAGTGTTAAATGCAGAGAGTGGGGCCTGTCTTCTAGATCCCAGCATGATTGAGTGTGTTGACACTGCATTGAGACTTGTTACGCGTCACTCTCACTGAATTATCGCCCTCTCTTTCTTTCTTGCATGGCTTGGCTGTTTGCTTTCCTCATTTCTTTTGCGAGTCTCATCCTTTACTTTTAGGGCGACCTCTCCTTTTCAATATAAATAAAAAAAATTAATCTCATTTACTTGCTCACCAATTCCTCACGTAGTACTGAATAATTTAAAAAAATTTAAAAATAGAGTTACCCCTTCTAGTTTATCAAACATCATTTACTAAATAATCTAAGCTTAGCCTAACTGTTACGTGTTGCATGCATATATTAATAGCTCCCCTATGATTCGAGTACTACTTGGATTTAAGTTAATTAAATAAAAAACCCAAACCCAATCCAACACATACACACACATATATATATATTTAACTTCTTAATCACACATTTTAACAGTTTAAAACTTGAGATTCTGATTTTGATATCATATTGATGGAAAGAGATTTATAAAATAGTAAAAAATTACCTCTCTTTGTATAATTCAAAATCTTTATGTATTAACAAAATATTTTATTTCCAATTTTAAATTAGTTTAGGGAGTAAACTTGTGTTGGATAATTGCTAAACACTTTTTGGGGATTAGACGTCACAACAAAAACATACCTATATATACTCTTTTGCTTTAAAGGGGAAAAAAGAAAGAGTTTTTGGCACCCTATATTTGCTCTCTTGAGTCTTGGCAGAATTTCCAAAATTTCCACGTATATATCTTTCAATTAAATATGCACATAGAGAAGGTATAGGTAAGCTATTAATTGGGGATTAACTTGTAGATTAATCAGGAAGGGACGTTGAAAAGTCCAAGTTTTCATGTGGTGCTGGGGATATTAGGCATGTAGTTATGAGCAATTCAGTAGCCTACCTAGGATTAAGCATCTCCTGCACACAAAAAAACTATATAAGAGGTTGGGGGGGGAAGAAACTCTCTAGGATTAAGCCTCTACCCAACTGATGTCATAAATAGTAATAAAGATGTGGTTATGACTTAATTTTTATGTTCTCACTCTATTTTTATTTTGCTTTCAAAAGCAAATAATATTTGCAATAAATCCCCTTGTCTTCTACTCTATATATTATTATGTCTAATTAAAGTTAAGCTTAGATAACAAGAAAGTGCAAAACTTGATAAAAGTTTTATATTGCAGTTAGGAATATAAAATTTGATACCATATTTTACATGTTCCTTGATTACTTTTTTCCTCCTTGTGTCACATTGATTATCATTGAGTAAAGCAACAAATACCATGAAGGCAGTGATTATCATGGACCAAATATTCAAGGAACAAGAATAATTAAAAAAAATCCATGAACTAAAAATTATTTTAAAATTGTGAAGGAATTTAATTGAAATAATGTTATGATAATTATATTCAAAGTTTAAGATGGAATTGAATATGATATGGCTAGTGCCTTGTTGACAAGTTGTTGAGAAGAAATAAATTTCAAAAATTGCTCTAGTTAACTTTTATACAATTATCATGTCTGACACTTAATAATTGAATAATTAATTTCTTTTAAGTATATTGGGAATAATATAGATATAGAAAGCTGGTGGAGTTAAGAAAGAACTTCGCACACTGTTTTGGTTGGTAATGTATTTGAAAGTCCGAGTTTTGGGAAAATATCACAACGACGGGTGGACATAACAATTTCCAATGCTTACTAAGCAATGTTTGGAATTTACAAGGCTTTGAAAGTAGTTTAGGAAGGGGAAAAACGTTTTTTCTGCTCTCTTAAAATAGCAACCACATAAGCTCTCTTCTTCCATGGAGTTTGGGACACCCACAAATCATTTTCACTGAGTCTCTCTCTCTCTCTCTCTCTCTCTCTCTCTCACCATTTCATTGTACCATTACCTCACTCTATACCGGTAAAGTACACCTCTTTCTCTCTCTTTTTCTTTCTCTCTCTCTCTCTCATAATCATTGAGCAACTTTTTTTAACTTTTTTTTTTGCAAACTCAGTAAAGAGCTTTTTCTTCTTCCAGTGTCTGAGCTGTTTACTGTTGTTTTGCATTATTTTCATACTGTGTTACTTGTCCCTACTCTTGCATTTAGCATTAGTTCTTTGTTTCCTGAGCTTTTACTTGATTGAATACAAGTTGGGTCGTCAAGTAATTCTTGGAGCTGTTTATTGTTTTGGGTTTTTGACTTTTCCTAATGGGTTTTCTTTTTTCTTTGGTGAAGTGCATTTGACAATCAAGACTTGAACTTTCCATAAATTTAGTGCTTCAAAAAAAAAAAAAAAGGAATTTGGGTTTCTCTGCGTGTCTTGGTCTTGATTCTTCAATTGTACTTTCCTGGCTAATGTTGCAGGGGTCTATAAAAAGTTTCTTTTGAGACTCAGCTGAGGTTTTGGAGATCAACATATTGTGATGAAAGGTTAAGGAGGATAGCTTCTTTGTTTTTTTGCTTGAATTGAACTTGGTTTAATTTTTACTTGGGTGGTCCTATTGCATGTAATGGAGTCCTGGAGTTATGTTTCTGGTGAGAAAGGTTCTGTATCTGATGCAGCAATTTCACCTTCTGATTCTTATGCAAGAAATAGAAGTGCCTTGATGAACTGGGAGTTAAAAGGTCCCTATAGTTTTAGCAACAACATGCTAGTCTCAGGACAACAAGCAATAGAGAATCATGCTTTTGGGGAATTGGGTAATGGAGAATTCATAGGAAAACAGTTGCCTAATGATTCAATTGGGGATATTTTAAATAGCAAAGTTACTCGGGGAAGAACTGTAAATCCGATAATGGCTACCCTGAATGCCTTCTCTGGGGAGGATGAGTCTACTTCGAAGTTTTCAAGCTCTGTCGTGGACTCTAATAGTCGGGATTCTTCACTCATAGATTTAAAGCTGGGAAGGTTTCCTGATCATAGAGATGGCCAAAGTTCTAGTTTTTCTATAGGGGCCCCCATTTTATCTTCATCTGAGTCATCTACACCCCCAAAGAGAGTTCGAGCTGCTGGAGTAAATTCTCATACCACCTATTGCCAAGTTTATGGTTGTAACAAGGATCTCGCTTCCTCAAAAGACTACCACAAGAGGCACAAAGTTTGTGAGGTTCACTCAAAAACTGCAACAGTTATTGTTAATGGAATTGAACAACGGTTTTGTCAACAATGCAGCAGGTCAGTTTTGCTTACAGAAGTCCTTTTGTGCTCCTTCAATTAGCAGAAATAGCATAGAAAATAAAACCAGAAAATAGAAAAAAGATTATTAATCTTGTCAAGTTAAAAATATAGTAATTTCACAGTTATTTTTTTAATTCCTTTTCCCTTGTCATCGTATCAATAAAAAAGGGGTTTTGGGACCTTGGAATTGTTCCAATTGTGTATCTTTTTCTATTGTCATTGTTGTATAATTTATAAAATTGGATTATTTTCCAGATTTGCTTTACAGGTTGCCATCAATTTTTTTATGGGGGGGCTGTGGGGTTGTCTAATGTTCCCTCTGTCTTTCTATGTCATTCTTCCCTAATCTCTTGGGATGGTTTGCCTGCATTAATATCTTTACGTTGTTGCTTGATTTTAATTATCACACAGATTGCATAGACCTTTTTTTTTTCCTATAAGTAACTCCTTTTTTTTAACAAAAAAATTTCTGCTTATTCCAATGGATTTCTCTGGTCCAAAAGTGTTTCAGGAAAAATATAGAACCTACACTTTTGAAAGATTGGCTGATTTGGAATCTCAATAAATATCATTGAAGGTCAACTTTGTTAATGTAGAACTTGGCTCAGTTACCATTTTTGGGCCTTATTCCTGCTATAATATATCATAGCTTTTGACCATTCAGGTTTCATTTGCTGGCTGAATTTGATGATGGTAAGCGCAGCTGTCGTAAACGCCTCGCTGGCCACAATGAGCGGCGGAGAAAACCTCAAATTGGTATTCACTCTGGGAGAAGTGGAAGGTTACTTCAGCAATATAATGGTATTAAACCCACATCATACCTGATCTCAGTCATTCATATAATCTCTGTGTGTGTAGGCTGGGGTGGGGGCACTGTGCTCATTTGCATCTGTATGTGTTTGACCTACAATTGCTTACTATCTTCGCACCTTGGCCGGCTACAAAGCTTGCTAAAGACATAATGGTTTGCTTATCTTGTTAACATAAAAAATTATATTGTTTTTAATTCTTTGATTGATAGTTCAGTTCAAAAACACTTGAAATATCAGGTGTTTGACTGGCTATATAGTAAACTACACCCAAACTAAACTAGTAGACTTCTTTTGTTCTTTCCAATTATCTTGAGGAGCGTCCTCCAAATTTTAAGGACTTGCCTAAATGTGGAAAGTTCTGATCCGACATAATGCTTTTAATTTCTGAGTTTTTACCCTCTCTTTACCCACTTTTTTAAGTTTAGTGCTATAACTTTTTTGCTTAATTGGTTAATATTTCCATACGTGATCGGATTAACATTCTCTAAATTTAGTTCTCATGAATTAGATTTCTTTATTAAATTGTATACAACATCTTCACAATGGTCCTTTCCTGGGCCTCCTAGTAGATTAAATTTTATGTGAAGTGAAGCCGTCACTTTCCAATATAAAGTGTTATGTATAAACATCCACTTAATGTCATAAACTCCAATATCAAGTGGCACATTTGCATGCACCACAAATTAAAACTGGATGATAGTGTCGAAATCTGAAGTTGTATGGAGCCTTCAGAGCTTTATTCCGGCATTATGAGTAAGTTATGTTCACTGGGGCATATGCTTAACTCATCTATGAGGAGCTTCTGCTGAAGATTTCTCAATCCAGGAGACTGACTCCACGTCATAAGATGTTGCCTTCTAGTAAATTGAGGGGCATATGCTCAATACCTGAGTGGTTTTTCATCTTATCATTAGGTAGATTTCATGCATTTTCGCCAAATTATTCCCAATTAAATTGGGAGTTGGAGAGAACGGCTTGGAACAAAACAGCAAGGAGTTGAATGTAGCTCAACACAGAAATTCTAAACTCATACTTTTTTTCGAGTCTGAAACAAGCTAATCTCCTCAGGCTCAAGATCAGTTTGAAAGATTTATAAAGCTTGAGTTCATCTCAGTTCATTTCATCATGCAATGTGAATCAATTCAAACTCAAGCTCAAGCTTGATTTTGAGTATGCATGCATATACTCAAATGTGTTATCAGCCGTAACATCTATCACTTCATTTTAATGCCAGATCGGCATGCACTAATATATATTAAAATGAGCCAAAGACGAAACTTGAATTTGATTCACTCGTTGATGAAGCAATGTGAACCTGAAAAGTTTCAACTGGATTGACTCAGCTGCTTGGAATGTGATTTAGTGATGACATGAATAACTGCCTTGCACTTCTGATGCAATAGAATACAAAGGCATGCTCTGCCCATTGGTGCTCAAAGATGCTATGGGGTATAGGTGTGACAGTCAAATAGGTTGTGCTTTAGCTTAATAAGCTAACTTCTTCTTGAAGGACTGTATGCTACATTGATTTCATAAATACTGGTCATATAACTGGTTAATTTGCATTGTTTATAGGTTGTGAGGATTTATGGTTCCAGACTTATTTCCAATGGTAGTTTCAAGGGGAATATTACCACTCCACCACACTCCCTCCTTGTTTGGGCTTTCTCAAAGATAGCATGTCCAATATTAGCCATATTATCAGTTATCATAAGTTAGCAATAGAAATCACTTGAAACACTAGCATTGCTTGTACAGTTGCATTGTGAAAGTGTAACTAACATGCTTGTTACTGATGTTCTTCATCATTTTTCATTGATCCTAAAATTCAGTACTTCAGATTTTTTCTGTATTCATGTGCTCTACATAGCGCACCTCTACATTAATTGGATTAAACCTAAAAAACTAAATCTGCTATTTCCTGATAGAGAAAAGTGAAGACTGATTGAAAATCCTTATTTTCACCAAAAAAAAAAAAAAATTGTGCCAGGTTTTGAGTAGCCATTAAGAGTTGCAGTCTATAATATCTAAGACACTTATCTGTATTTACTTCTCGTCTCTTCTTGCAGATATGCTAAAAGCACATGTCTATATGGTATTTGTTACATTGTAACCAAAATACTATGCCTGTTCTCTGACTTCGTTGAACAGGGCTGCCATGGGACTTGATTTTGGGAAGGGTACATGGCATTGTCAATCTAGATGGTGCTAAATCCAGTGTGATATAGTTCATTTTTCTCGCTCTCTCTGCTAGATTACTGATTTGGTCTCCACAACATTTTCAGACCATAATGTCCCCTCAAGGGAAAACCCCCTTTTAGAGTTATTTCTTTACATGAACCATGTTTGTATATGAACTAACTGTAGACTTATGAAGGAAATTGCTAATTCAAATTACAATGTAGAGGTGAAAGATTAGTACATAACCAATCACATCCAGAAGGGTAACCAAACAGCAAAAACTTCAGTTCTGATCAAAGTAAAATTTATGCTGAAATGTTTGCCCTGGAGATAAAATGTGGCGTATTGCTTGCCCATAGTATTAAGAAATATTAGGTTGGTAGAACAATTTTGCTGTGCAGCAAAATGTAACTTCTAGTTAGAGTCAAGCAATGACGGTGCAAAATGGAATGCAAGGCTCTGCAGAAAAATCACTGTTGTTGAGCACTTACAATTTGTAAAAATGTCAGTAATGATACTGTTAGTGGGAAATGTTAGCTTGAATAATCTGCATGTCATAAGGTTTGGCAAAGAAGTGGCATGTCAGTTGCAGACCATAATCAAATGCATGGGGCTTTGACTTACTTGATTCTGAAGAAAATTTCCATTTATATGTTTGGTATTTACATTATCGAAATTTTTTCAGTGTTCTGAACTATGTCATAAAATTCCTCAGAGCTTTAATGTCCCAAGAATTTGAGCTATGTTTTTCTCTTGTAATCTAATAATTTGGTATACTTATGACTTTCTATGATGCTAAGAATATGAAATTATTTGTAAAAGATGACTACTTTGTTGCTATTTTTGCATTTTTGTTGGTGTCATGAATTATCTGTGAAATTTTATATTGTGTAAATTCTCCCAACATTATGCAGGCTTTGCTGGTGGCAGATTTCATGGAACTATGTTGACAACTACGTCCTTTATTTGCCAAGATATACTACCTAGTGGCCTTTTGCATCCTGATAAGTATGTAACAAATGAATGGGGCAAGCGGATAAAAGTTGAAGATGGGACTGATTATAGCCCTCTTCCCACCATTCCCATCATGGATGGGCATTTGCATTTAAAATCCCCCTACCATCCTAGTGGTATTGAGAAACTGTTTCCCTCTTTTCATGGTAATGAAGCTAATGCAGCCACTGGAGGCATTTTGAGTGTGAACAATGCAAGATATCCTCATGACTTTGGTGGTCCAAATTCTGTATCACGCCCTTTATTCCAAGACACCTCATTAGGAAGTGAAGACATCAATGTTTTTGATGCTGCATCAACCATTCAAGGACTATCTGGGATTTCAGATTCTGGTTGTGCTCTCTCTCTTCTGTCATCTCAATCACAGAACTCTTCAAGCCATTCATCAGGAATTCCCATGTCTCGTTCCCTTGTCATTCCAGGCAGCCATACCCATTACAACATGAGTCAAGTCTCAGAAAAGCTCATCGGAGTTAGCTCGCAGGCTTCAACTACTGGGGTTTCAAATAAGTTCTCTTCATCAGGGATGAATTCAACTGAAGGGAGTCACGTGGGACCCCTACTGATATCTGATGGCGGTGAAGCTGCCAACTTTGATATCTCTGGTGGGATTTACCAAGGTTCGGAATTCATGAATACCAAGGATCGCCTATCATGCGAAGATGGACCAACAATTGACTTGCTTCACCTTTCATCACAACTTCAGCGAGTGGAGCACCAAAGACAATCGATGCAGGTGAAGCATGAAAATGAGGCTTTCTGCTGCCTCCGAATCACTTAAGTACATAAGCAATAAGGTAAGTAAAGATGTTTAAATGTTCATTATCGAATATCTTTGTTGACATGATGACTGCGTGAATACCTACTCGATAATGCAAGGGAGAAAATGTTAGCAAGATAAATGTGGATGCTCTATGATCTTTTCTTTTTTCTATAAGATCATTATCATATGATATTTCTAATAAATAATTTACCTCATTGAAACTGGAACAAGATAGCTATAAAACAAAATTTGGCTGAAAGTATGAGTGAGTTAATCAGCAGAACTTTAAATCACTATTGGATATATATTAGCAATGACTTAAGCTGATGTCATCTTCCCCGAAAGCTAAAAGTGTGAATAATTGCTTAGAAGAAACCATGTGGTTCCTCATTGTGCAGTGTTAATCTTTTTATCAAGTATGTTGGAGAATTTGGACTCAGCTTCTATGCTCTGGCAATTAAATGATGTGGGGCAAAAGCAGGATTTGCTAATACATTACATACTTGTCATTCTTTGTTGGCAATGTTTGCTTGCTTGGATACAATAATGGATACAATAACTTCTATTAAAACCATGTTTGATGGAACTTAATTCACAACTTAGGCATAATGTAGATAGTGATTTGACAACACTTCAAGATGGTGGGTGAAAAGATTTCAAAGCAAAGCCAAGGACTGCTAGCACTACAGCTATTGCCATCACAATCATTCTACTATAACCAAAAGATTTCTTAGCATACACTGAACACTTGTGCCTGTTACCTCCATTTAAGGTGATTAGGAGCAATCTTTTGCTTGTGAGTAGTGCCTTTATTTACTAAATTGTTAGTGGATAATTGATAGCAAGAAAGCTGTGGTGCATCAGAAAATGATTGTTGAGACCGTAGTGATGGGCAGCATTATCTTGCATGAAATCATGGAATTGTGATCGTAAGGCATTCAAATTCAATATTTTGCAGCCAGATGGAATTTATCATGTAAACAAGGGAAATGGGGAATGGTGAGCAGTGGAACTAAAATGAACAGTGAGAGGCAAATGTAGAAACTTACTAGGTACCATAAGATGATTTTAGTTTGCTCGTTCAGTGTGCGACAAAATTGACATTGCTTCAATATGTTGATGAATCATTGGTTTTAATCTTTAAGCTTCTCTTTTTAAGGTAGAAGTTGTCAAAACCAACAATGAATGGAACATTCATCTCGTTCCCCTTTAACTCCACCACAACCACTCTCCTTTTTCCCTCTCTGAAATACAGGATAATTAGGAGAATGTATGGCGGTACATTAGCTTTATCTCTACTTGAATAGATCTAAAATGTTGGTCATGCTAAATCCGGGAATGGTGCCTGGCTCATATCAAATAAAAGATAGTTATTTATCCCAAAACAAACTTTGGATCAGTTTGAAGTAGTCTCATTGTTAAAATGTTTATAAGGCAAGCACGCATTTGTGCACTCCTTGAATTTAATCTAACTGCTTCTTTCTACCTTCTTAATTTGTTGTCCTAGGACCAAACACTGTGCTATGGGAGAGGAGTGCAATGTGCTAAAAGGTGTGCAGTTCTGGAGACATCTAGAGTTGATCTCGGAGAACATAAAAGCATCAGGTAGAGAAAATGATGAGAAAGTTCAGATGCTAATCTAACCTTCTCAGCAGCTGCTAACAGCTTGATTTTTTTTTTATTTAATTTCAGCTAGACTTTGTTTATATAATCAGGAAGTCATTCCTTCCCGAGAAGTGAATAATAAATGGCCCAAAGGTCATATCCACATTTACTTTGCCTCCTAATATGCTTTCCCGTCATGTTACCCTCAATGTTGTTGAACATTTCATCAGGTCTAACCTCTGTAGTTCTAGATCATAATATAATGACAAATAATTGTTTGCATTTTTCACTTGTTAACAAGACATCTGATACTCGATTTCTATAACTTTGTGGTTCTTCTTCACATGCTCTTAACGCTTAGATTCTGAACTTCCAAAGGAATTGACTTGAGATTGTCATTTTGTACTTGCTTTTGGAAGTTAAGATCACAAAAAAAAAAAAAAACCATGCAGGAATCATTTCTAAATGCCAACTGAAGAACTCAATTGTTGTCCACTGTTTATTACCAGTATTTTTTGGGACCCTGCTGAAAGTGATGGTGCCAGCAAGATTTATGAATGCCCATATTGACAAAAAGTATCCAGCAATTCCATAGTATCTATAATGTAATTCATAGCAATACTATAGTACCTATCCAAGATTTAAATATTGATATCATGGATATATCAGACTTTCCAAAAGATAAATATATAAAATAATACATTGAAAATATGAATATTGTCATCTATGACATGGACTTACTACATGATACTCTCAATCTTAAAAGTTCCATATGAACTTTGCTGTGTCCCACGTGGCTACCAAGTATGAAGTGAAAGTAGCAGGTTGTTTATGCATGGTAATAGAAATGCGGGCATGGCCTGCTTCCAGGTCAGACCCCAAATTTGAGATAATGTGGGTGCTCTCCAATTTCTTTGGAAAAGTAAAAGTAAATATTTTCGATCGTCATGCCCCAGAAAGAGAAAATTACAAGGAAATTGGGAAGAAAAATTTCACCTTCCAAGGAAACAGATGCATCAACAACTTAAGAAAAAAAAATGCTGCTGTTTTGCATGGGACTTGATATGATATTAGAAAGATCCAAATGTTATTAACGAGTTAAGAGTCAAATCTCATTTCACATTTATGATCTAGCAAAGTCTTGCTTAGAACTTCGAAAAGAAAAAAAAATAGAAATAATTGAATTTGTAAACACAAAAAAAAAAGTTATAGTATCCTGAATTGCACCAATTTTCCTATGTACATGAAAATTTGATAATATCAAATTATTTGGTTTTCAATATATAAGCAATTTTCCTAAATCTCCATAATTTTAAAGATTTTCTAATATTTTTTAAGAAGATAAAGTTTCTCATTGAAAAGTAAAAATTAAAGAATATATATAATTGAAATTCGAATGCATAGATTAAATAAATGTTGTTTCATTTGATTATTGTTTGATCCTAGTCCAGTATATGATTGATGTATTTGTTCTAATGTGTCAATACTGCTTATATATTGATTAGATGGTTTCAGTATTAGCAAAGCTATGAAGTTTAAATTGCCCATGAGCTAGTAGGGAGGTAATGGGACCCAAATCCAAAATAGCCGGATGATCAGGATGGTTCCATATCATTGTCCATGGGAGCACATGGGACATGCGCATGAAAACGTAGGAAACAGCTGTGCAAGAGCAATGGAAACTTTTATATGGTGGTTGGGACGGTGAGATAATCAAAAGATTCTCCAGTGAGTCTTTTCACTCAATTTTCTCTGCCCCCACAACTTACCATATCCTTCTCCATGTTTGTAGAAACCTTGGCCGTTACGCTAATGCTGATTGATAAGTAATTTGTCTACGCTGGAAATTTCTCTAGGAAGATAGGACCTTGAATTCTTATTATCCACTATGTCATTGCGCTTACTTGTTTGTTTCATTCGCAGGATTGCTTGTACTACAATGGTCATGGGTGGGATGTGTTGACATGCACAGCCTGCGGTCCAAATTAGATAGACCGAGCAACGATCATCGTCGTTGGGAAATGGCTTAGCAGACCTTGTTTGACAATTCCGATTTCCGGTTTCCAGTATGCAACCACAGTTTCCAACTAAGTAGAACAAAATTGACCTGGTCCTTTCAGACTTTCAGCTTTGACATGACATGGCCATTTACATTGAACAATGACTTCTCATCTCACATTGACTCGTTACAGCAAAGTAGAAGCCCCATCGGGGAAGGCCTTTGCGCACCCTTTCAACTTGACATTCAGAAGAAAGAAAACTTCAACAGATTACCAACAGAAGTCAAGAAAACAAGCATAACTCTGAATTAAACAAATCTGTAACTAGAACTTTTCCAAAGTAAATAATCTCAATCATCCTCTAAATAAATTAAATACTAGCTAACTCGCAAATCTAATACAATACATAAGCCATAAATTTCTTATTGTTCTAAACTCAGTAATATGATAAATAAAATTATATCCCCCTCACCCTGCAAAATAAACATTCCAAGCTTTAATGCAAGAGCTTGGACAACATAGATGATCATGATCCAAGCCTAGGACTGCTAGACCAAATGCTGGCTGTTGACTGAAGAAGTTTACTTCGCAGCACCATTGGGCAACTCGGCAGATTTTGCACCTGATGGGTTTAGCTCATCCCATGCTTCAATCCATGTCACCATAGCATCTGCAAGCTTGTTGAAGTACTCGTCAACCTTGCCTAGTTTTGCCTTGACCTGCTTGGAAATTTCAATGTAGCATTTCTGAACAGTGGTGCAGTCCTTAGGAAGGGTAACAGACTGGAAGAATGGGATCAACTCTTCTTGCCAGTATATTCCTTTGTATTCCTTCTTAAGATTCACAAATGGGTTGCTGGCTTTACTGTGCCAAATGTAAGGCAATCCAGTCTTCACTCCCAATCCTAGGTGATCGCATATAACCTGAGTGGGAACAGGACAAAGTATTAGCATCTGCAGTCAAATAAGAAGCTTAGCAGATTGATATTACCAATGATTAGGGTATACCTTGGTGCACCAGCCAGCCCACATATCATCATATCGTCCAATTGGCTGACCATCACCCATGAGTCCAAAGTACATTGCAGCGCCAATCAACTCACGGTTGAATGCGAGATTCATACCACACATGGGAAAGAGGGTTCCCTTTGGAATTGTCATAATAGCATCAACATACCTGATAAAAATTAGACATTGGATTTAGTCTTAATTGAAATGAGTACATATGCAGCAAACAATGTGAAGGGTTATATAGACCTGGTGTTCCTCTCAAGAGGCTTGACAAGCTGAGTAGGTGCATCATAATCTGGGATGTTAAGCCAGAGGCCATGAGACACAGCAGTGGGAACACCCTCACGGAGACTGAATGGGTACCCACGAACAAAATCTGCACCAGCTCGGTATGGATCATACAGAGTGTTGAAGAAAAATGGTGTAGAAGGACTCAGAAGGTTCTTTATGTGCTGCTCCAATGCATTAATGTCTTTTCCAGATGGATCTTTAGCAACCTGTAAAATCAAGCGGCCATCAAGGTTAGACTTCCAGATGATAAAGAACATTTCATTGTCAGATCTCATAAAAATGTATCCAAGAAGAATTAATAAACACTTGCACATGAAGGACTCAATCATTTATGAACAAATAAATGCAAAGAGAAAACAGCTAAACCTCAAGCAGCACTTTGAAGTTTAAGCTCTGAAACCAGCTTCTGTTAGTCAAAACTGATATCCAATACAACTAGAATGCATTTTGGTTTATATGTATAATCAATCAAGCCAAGAAATCTCATCACGTCAAACCAACTGATAATACATGACACCAGATATGTACCCAAAAACCATCCTTCCTTTCAAAATTCAAGATCATATAGACTAAACAACAAAAGGCTGTGTTTCAATACTTGTTAGGAAAAGCTGCAAAGAATCATGTCAGCATTACAAAGTAATGGCTGTGAAAAGATCAAGTGGCACATGTGTCTCTTGTTACATGCAGCTTACCGTCAGTGAAAGACTAAATGAAGGATCGCTTTCTCACAGCCTAACAGATCAAAGCAGAAATCTATTGAAAACATATCAGCAAATACAGATCAATACATGTTATTTGCTAAACTATGCAAGCAGACGTGTAACCGATGGATTTATAATTTAGCAGGAATAAAACAAAAACAACAATTGCAGATCCAAATAGCAAATCAAGATAGGGAAGTACCACCAAATTGCATAACAAAAACAGTTTTCTAAAAATTCAAGTCACCAAAACACCAACCAAATTCAAAATTCTCAAATCACGTCAAGATCTAAACTTCAGTACGCGAAACACTAAAGGATCACATCAAGATCCCAAACTTAAAACCAACCTGCAAAACGTTTCAAATAAATAAAACCCAATTTCGAAATCCAAATATCGACTCAAACCCAGATCTACCAAAACACCAACATAAACACAAAAAAATAGAGAGAAAAATAATAACTTTTCAACAAAACCCAAACCGAAACCCAAAATTGAAAAAGAGGAAAGAGATGAGTTTTGAACTTACAAAGCAGTCATCATCAATGGTATAGATGTACTTCTTCTTGGATACCATGTAACCAAAGCACCTACAAGCAGAGTCCTTGAAAGAGATACACGAAGCCTTAGGACCCAAAATCCTGTTGATATCATTTCTGTTGTAAAGCTCATAGTCAAAGCCTTCAGGAACCTTGATGGTTTTTGAGGGGTCACCATCTTGAACTATGATGAGATGGTAAGGCTGGAAAAAGGGTCTCCACATCTCCAAAAAGTCCAAGTTCCGAATGGTTGGAATCACGATGTCAAGCTCATCCTTCAACAGCGTAGCTGGTGAGATAGTTGCTGGCTCGGCCATCGGAAAAAGCTTGGACTTTCAGGCAACGCAGAGAGTGAAGGGTGGGTGAGTTCGAGAGAGAGCGGGGGAGTAAACAAGAGAAGAGGTGGTGTTTGTATAAGAGAGGGACTCGCGAGGGGGGCACGTGCGAAGAAAAGAAGGTGGCTTATGGTAGGAAAACAGCTCAACTGGATTCATGCTATCATGTTTTTCGGGAAGATTTACTACAAAATTATTTAATTTTATTTCTCTGGACATTTTATTTATTTTTTCAATTTTTGAACAATTTCAAGAATTTATGAAAAATTGGCTAAAAATAAATAGTTCTCAAGTTATGTTATGTATATGATACTATATATTTATTGCCTATCAATGTTTCATTAAAAATATTTGTAAATTAACTCTGAATGTTGCTTTTGATGAAGTACTGTAAATTAGTGATTTCTATTGCCAAAG